ACTGTTTGCTGGTATCGGGACCTCAAGAGACAAATGCAGTACTATGCTGAGGTAATGCTTGTGTGCTCTAGGATGGCTAGGCGTCATCTCTAGCCCGTGCGAGTTGCTGCTCATCACCCCTTCCAGGTCGGGAGTTCTAGATCAACCACAATGGGCGTATTGAACCTTTTCCCTCCTCGATGAGGCCAGCTCGTTGCCATGGTTGCCGCATTGATGATGCAAGTCTCGTGTCTGTGCGAGTGAAGCCCATTCTCATCGTTATGTTCTCCTCTCTTCAGGCACGAAAGGGCAGATTCCGAATTTGATCGGTCGGCTTCAGTATTCTGAATCCAGCCGAGCGACGGGTCAGGCAATGGAGCTAGTATAACATTCTGCGTCGATTGGAACAGTGCTCCGAGTGACGTTGCCACCACTTGCTCAGCGAAGAAACCATCATTGTCTAACTTCGGTGAATTTTTTCCTGTGAGGTCCACGAGGCTTTGCTTTCTACTTTCTGAAGGAGGGAGAAAGCCTTGAATGATTTGGCTTGGTCGATCTTGAGTGCTTGACACCGACAATGACGGTATGGATGATGGGGACCACTTCACCCTCTCATAGCCGCGCGACTCGTGCACATGGCCACATACTGCCAACATCGGTCGAACGTTGCTTAAGGCCTCGCGAAGGGCTTTGCATCCGACTGACTCAGCTGCTGCTCCATGGCGGTCGCAGTGTGAATGGGGAGGGGTGTGCGTTACCACAATGTCAGTGTCCAATGGAATCCTGCTCCAAAGCTCAGCAGCCTCCGAGGAATCGTATCCATAAGCCCAGGTTCCTGGCGATTGGGAATATGGAGAGCCAAAGACTTTGAAGACGGTGTTTGGGCCGTTGGGCCGCCTCAGCCGGACTAGTGCTGACTCGTGCCTGAGAAATACGATGGAAGGGAAGGATGCTTCGGTGACAAGTTCTATGCATTTCTGAGGGTTTTCGAGATGCTGACCATGAGATTTCAAACCGTGGCGGGCATAGAGATCGGCATCTAGCGTAATGTCATGGTTTCCTGGAGCGCTTTCATACTTCAGCACCCTCACGCGTATCAAAACTCTTCTCCGACAGCCCTACGAGCTACGGTCTATGGTCTGGGACAAGCCACAGGCGGCTCTCGTGCAAGCTCGGCTAGGTAATGTAAGTACTGACCACAGATGACAATTTTGACCTCGAAATCAGCCGCAGAGATCCAGTCCATAGTTTTACGAAGCTCAGCCATGCTACCATGGTTGGTGAGATCGCCGGCATGGATCAAGACGTCTCCAGCTGGTAGCTTGAAGCCAGCTTCAGAGGGAGTGTAAGCATGCGTGTCAGAGACACAGACGAAACGTGTTTTTCGGCGCATCTTTGTGATGGGTCTCTATGAAACATTCGTAGGATCAGCGGGTCTGTTTCTATTATCGGCAGGGGCTTAGCCAGGACATGGCTGTAACCTTGCTGTGTAACAACAAGGCTTGGTATCCAGCGGTTCATATTGCCTGCTCACCTACAGCTGGCGGCTTCTTCTATTGTCAATTGAGAAATTCAAAGATGAAGGGGAAAACACGGCGGGAATTGCTAGCAGACTTGTGTGACGAGGAGTGTATCACCCTACAGCATCCTACTCTGTGGCCGGAGTTAATTGAAGTAGAGGGTTATCTAGACGAAGACGAGTGACGACATGTAAGCGGTCTGGCCCAGCGGGTACTGATGGCAGACGCCTGAGGCATTCAATCTGCGTCTCAAATCTCCGCTTAAAGCCAGGTTTGCACCGAGGCCAATCAACCATCGTCAAGTCATCTCCCGAAGCAGCCGGAAGTGGGGCCAGGCAATAACCCCCCCCCCCCCCCGATTACATGATGATGCACCTTCACATTCAGCAACCTCACGCTACTACCTCCACCATCATTCCCATCCCAATTCTCTCCCTCGCTATTCGTCATTTGAAGCAATTGGACCACGGGATTTTCCCGGTCTGGAGACTTGAGGAGGTGCATAGCTTTCCTCAAATCACACTTGCAACATGCCTCGGTGGAAGCGCAGTAAGACGCGCTCTGATAAAGATTCTGGAGCGCCAGCCGATAGCCCCATTGCTCACTCTACGGCCATCGCCTCTCTCCGTGCTGTCAGCGGCAGCTCTCCGGACTCAATGAGAGGTGCGGCACAAACCAAAGTGCCAGATCCTGAGGCGTTCCGCAAGCTAGCTAAACAGCACGCCGAGTTCGGGCCCCTCGGCGATCCGTCGCATCTTTACACCAGCGAGCACCCTGGGGGAGAGATCCCCGATCCTGTCATTGATGAACCTCCGTACTTCTTTGTCTTGACGACCTACGTCAGCTTTCTCGTTCTCATCTTTCTCGGCCATTTTCACGATTTCTGGGCTCAGTGGTTCTCGTCCCATTCCTATCGGCATCTGAAGCCCCAGAATGGGTACGCCTCTCTATACAGTGACTTCGAGAGCTTCTACACGCGTCGATTGAAGCAGCGGATCAACGACTGCTTCGAGCGGCCGATCACCGGCGTCCCCGGCCGGCATGTTACCCTCCTCGACCGGACCACCGAAGACAACCTGCATTTCAGCTTCACGGGCACGATAACCGACACCCTGAATCTCAGCTCCTACAACTACCTCGGATTTGCTCAATCAGAGGGGCCCTGCACCGATTTCGCAGAGGAGACTCTCCGGCGGGAAGGAATCTCTCTCGCGGGCACCCCTGACGCAGGAATTACCAAGTTGCATGTTGAGGTCGAGGATCAGATTGCCCGGTTCGTGGGCAAGGAGTCCGCCATGGTTTTCTCCATGGGGTTTGTGACCAACGCTACGATCTTCCCGGCCATCATGGAAAAGGGCTGTTTGATTTTGTCCGATGAGCTCAACCATGCATCCATTCGGTTCGGCGCCCGTCTCTCAGGGGCAGCTATTCAGGTCTTTGCGCACAACAACATGACGGACCTTGAGAAGCGCTTGAGGGAGGCGATCTCACAAGGCCAGCCGCGCACGCACCGGCCTTGGAAGAAGATCCTGGTCACCGTCGAGGGTCTGTTCTCGATGGAGGGCACTATGTGCAACCTTCCTCGGATCCTTGAGCTGAAGAAGAAGTACAAGTTCCACTTGTTTGTTGACGAGGCCCACTCAATAGGCGCGGTTGGGCGCCATGGACGTGGAGTCTGTGACTATTTTAGGGTTGACCCTGCAGAGGTCGAGATCCTTATGGGCACTTTTACCAAGTCCTTTGGAGCCAATGGCGGTTATATCGCCGCCGATAAGGCGATCATTGACAAAGTGCGCTGCATCAACGCTGGTCAAGTCTTCGGCGAAGCCCCGTCCCTGCCTGTTCTCGCGCAGATCTACTCCTCGCTGCGACTTATCGCTGATGAAGACCCCCTCCACCCGGGTGAAGGACGGGAGCGCATGCAGCGTCTAGCGTTCAATTCACGTTATTTACGCCTCGGACTGAAGCGACTCGGGTTCATTGTTTATGGACACGATGATTCGCCCATTGTTCCCCTGATGCTGTACAACCCCGCCAAGATGCCTGCGTTCTCCCGGGAAATGCTGCGTCGGAAGATCTCCGTTGTCGTTGTGACCTACCCTGCTACGCCCCTGGAGCTGTCCCGTGCCCGCCTGTGCGTGTCGGCTGCGCACACCAAGGACGACCTCGACCGCATACTGCAGGTGTGTGACGAGATCGGGGATGCGCTCGAGCTCAAGTTTTCTTCCGGGGTCGCAGGGGGCCTGAAAGAGCCCCTCTCCTCTGAAGAGAACCTCAATGGAGGCCACAAGGCCATCGAGCCCCCGCGCTGGACTCTCGAGGAAGTCATTGCAAGGGGCACGCGCGACGCAAAGCTGCCTTTTTATTAGAAAAGCAGTCGGCACAAATCTCGTTCTGTATGATGTGATGTGATGGAAGATAGCACGTCTTTGTGCTTTTTGTATAACGCCGCATGACCTCCTTTTTTGTCTACATCGATAAACGTTCAGACACATACAGCCATTGCCTGCAATCTGTCCCTTCGTTTCTGGTGCCATTCCTTTGGCGCTACGCTACGGACTCCGGTCCCCGTCCGATGCCGGACTGCATCTTCGTCGAGACTCAAGGCTCGCCGGTTGAAAGAACATATTAATCTTAATGTATACAATATTCACTTCTAGCTGTTATAATGACCAGCAACTCTCGCTTGGGCTGGATTTTCTAATGAATTGTGATTGCTGCTCTAGATGTGACTGAGGAGAGTTGCCCATACACCGGTAATCGGTAGGCCGGTGGCTAGTACCGTTGGCTGACTGCCTGATGATTGCACCGGTCAGGTGAAGCGATTGAAGGGTTCCAGGGTGATAGTAGAATATTTGCTACAAACTGAACCCTTTCTAATACTTCTAGCGACTCAAATAGTGAATGCGACCGTGACGAAGGGACCGATGGGAGTAGACGGTATATAGATTTTGATTACCAGCGTATCTGGGGGAACACTGGGTCTACTATCTAGTGTTTGCGGGGTGGGCACTTGTCTAGGTAAAGTTCTCCCAAGACTAATGCAATGAGGTATAGCCTGGGGGTGTGCCAAAGACAGGCACAGAATGGCAGAGATCATATTTACTTTCATATAGCATCTGAACTTTGTTGAACCAACAGTTTGCCAAAAACCAATGCGACATTGCCACTCATACCCATTCTGACAAAGATAAGGGCAAGCATGGTATAGTCACTTGGGGGCTGGATGCCGGTCTACAGAGTACCAAGTCCGTATCACGTGATCACCCAGCCACGGACAGAGTTAGGGCTGTGGCCCTCGACGGGGGACCGTCCCGCACACAGAAAGCCCGTAGCGCCGCTCGCTTAGCGAACAACCCCAGCGAACCCTCCATCCGACATCGTTGTGTGCGTTGAACCTGCCCACAACGACAACAACCGCCGACAACTTATACATCCCAAGGGAGTATCCTAGAGCAGCGCTCTTCCTATCGCTGGATATTTTCCTTTCGACACAGCAGGATGTCCTCCATCGATCCAGTCGTGCGTACCCACCACCGCCCCTTCCACCCAGACACTATACATGTGCATATCCCGGAATTCTTTGATGGGAAATCTACATCTGCAACACTTTTTCCGGAGACGAGTGCAAGAGGAGGATGATGGGGAGATTTGGGGGAATGAGATGAGAGAAGAGAGGGAGGGGGAATGCGAGACCGTCTCCGGGGAAGAACAAGCGGAGGGATTGGATACATACGGAAGAGTCACTCAGGGAAATTGAGAAAACAGGAATCGCTGACTTGTGTTGGATTTTTCTTTGCAGGTCGTCATTGACGGCAAGGGACACCTTCTTGGTCGTCTTGCCAGCACTGTCGCCAAGCAGCTGCTCAACGGTCAGAAGATCGTCGTCGTGAGATGTGAGGCTCTTAACATCTCCGGCGAGTTCTTCCGCGCGAAGCGTACGTTATATGTTATCCGATCCGAATTCGAATCCGCTCTCTTGTGTGCCATTCCTGCTGTCGTCTGGGATATATTGTTGGTGCTTGGTGTCTGCTACGTGAGGTGTACGGTTGGGGGGGTGGCGAAATGAGTTGCAACATGGGAGGAAGAAAGAATCAGGATGATGATCGACATATATCGAGGCGACAATGTGGAGGAACACAAGAGATGCGCTTCATGCTTGGGGAATGAAACATCGACTGACCTGGATCATGTGCGATATAGTCAAGTACCACGCCTACCTTCGCAAGATGACTCGTTTCAACCCCACCCGCGGTGGTGAGCCTACCCTGAAATCCTCCGACAACCCCGTTTCTCTCGACTGGTGCTGAGTTTGATTACCACAGGTCCCTTCCACTTCCGCGCTCCCTCCCGCATCTTCTACAAGGCCGTCCGCGGTATGATGCCCCACAAGACTGCCCGTGGTGCTGCCGCTCTGGAGCGCCTCAAGGTCTTCGAGGGTGTTCCTCCCCCCTACGACAAGAAGAAGCGCGTCGTCGTTCCCCAGGCCCTCCGTGTCCTCCGCCTCCGCCCCGGTCGCAAGTACTGCACCGTCGGCCGTCTGAGCCACGAGGTCGGCTGGAAGTACCAGGACGTCGTTGCCAGGTATGTTTATCTCGTTGCTGCGTTCCAGCGACTCTATTTATGGGATGGGAAATCATGGCTAAACTTTTTCTTTTCACAGACTCGAGGAGCGGAGAAAGGTCAAGAGCAGCGCCTACTACGAGCGCAAGAAGGCTGCCCGCCGTCAACTCGTCCACGCCCAGAAGTCGGCAGCTGTCAGCGAGCAGACCAAGACCGAGCTTGCTCAGTACGGATACTAGATACCTGGTTGCGCGGCTGGTTGCCTGTGTCTGTGATGGGATGGGATGGGATCGCGAACGGTTATGTTTCAGCGACAGATGGACGGCGAACCGATCGACCTTTTTTTTCTCTCTCACCCTGTCCCTAACCTTTTCATGAAAACCCCCCACAATACTTACGTTGTGACGCACATGGGAGGCTGGCGAGATTCGAGCTCTTAATAAACAAAAAAGAATTTTACGGGAGTCCGTTTGGGATGCAGAAAGAAAAGAAAGGTTGTTTCCAAATAGCTGACCGTTGCCTCGCGCCGTGGCGGTTTAATCCAAGAATTTTTCTTTTTTCAAAAACTCTTCAGATGACTTGTTGTGACGACCCCCCCCTTCAAAAAAAGAAAACATTACGTTCCGCTTCATCTTGGTATTCTTTGCTGCGATAAAGTGTCCGAAGTTCCATTACGCCATGCTTGCTAAAAGCCGCGGATCAAAGTTTCTTGGTCCGATGGCTCCGTATAAATGCCGCAAGAACCGGGTCAAATCTCCCATTGTCATCACCACTCTCAACCCCTTGCGTGACAAAGCCCCATGCGACAAGACACCCTGCCATGACGCCTAGTAGAGCCCGCCCAAACTCTGGTGAGCAGATCTAGGTCGCTCATCGTCGTTATCGTAATCAGTTGTCATGACCGCCATCTCAGGGTAATGATGTGATGGGAGAAGAATAGTGCATGTGCCCGGATGGCCTTCATGCAATCGGAGCAAGGCACTTGCCGCTTGGCGTGATTGTCGCTGCATGGTTGACTCATGTACAGTACCATCATCATCTACCATCCATATCCATAGTCAAGATGAATTGTGGGAACGGTTTGTGCTCATCCGATCTGTTGATGCTTGATCTGTTTCTGGATGCCGCTGTCTTTGAGCACTGGCCACTGCCACTACCTTAGTGAGTAGAGTATTCCCCTGCGGTGCGTGGGAGACATTATCGGCTTAGTTCTGGACCGTTCGTCTTTTCCTGCTGGTGCTTTGGCAGTCTATAGTACTTCTTACGTAGCTTAGAGCAGGATCTCGCTGGATGCCTGAAGAAGTACAGTATGTGTGACTGTACATGGTAAACTTTGCTGAATGATTATGTTATGTTCAGTTCAATGATGAAGGTGGATGCTTGTCATGGTCAAGCAGTACTCATACTTAGTCAAAGAGGGCGTGGATCTCAATACAGTTGAATGATCGATTCAGCAATCGACTGAGTGCGTGAGTGCTTGGTTGTATGACTAGAATAATGGATGTATTGTGTTGATTAGGAATTGGGCTCAAGGTGGAGGCCGCTAATGAACAAGAGTTTTCCATGAGGGGAATGGACTGTGTGTATCATGTACTGTACTGTACTGTACAAGTCGGTGGTCAGTGTAACCCGCTGAACTTGATTGATTCTTGTCGCCGGCAAGCTCGAAGGTAATTGTTGTCAGCTCCATTGGCAGGCTCTTCTTCATTTATGGACGAATCAAGAATTGAGCAATGTGAGCCTGTAGAATGAGGTTGTTTGGAAGTTCCAAATTAAAAGGGAAGGATCCGCTTTTTGGGCTCCGCCGCGGCCCCGACGCCCCAAACGATGATCATCCCCGCATTTACTCCTCTTTTACTTCTCGTCTCCTCTTCTGGAGCTCCTCGGAATCCCTCCTTCTCTTCCGTCCTCGTTTCTCGTTTCTCGTTTCCTCATTCTGAATCACACACGTCCTCACTCCTCATCCCTACCAGCGCCCATCCAATTGGATTTTCTCCAGGGAGGACATTGAAGCATTCATACACGAATTTGTTCCTCGCCAGTCACATCAAAGAACATCACAAGCTATGTCCTCCGCCAAGGGCCGGTTATCGGGCCTGCTCGCCCATTTCCTTCCCACCACCAATACCACCACCACCACCACTGACACCACCTCAACCTCAACCTCTACGAATCGGCCAGTCAACTTCCACACCCTATCTCCAACATACTTTCTTCCTCGAGCTGCTGCCATTGAACCACATGTAAGTACTGTTTGGTCTTGAGCTTTAGCCCCCGCTCCCTGAGCCCCGCCCCGACCTCAATTGTCTGGCCGACATAACCCTTCTTCCAATCAATACACTTAGCTTGGCCCTCATCATCTAAGTCGGCCTTCTTTGAAACAGGCAGAAGCAATCTACCACATCACAACCAATAATCAAATCCTCCGACGAAGCTATATCGAATTCGCCGACCGCGCTCGCGGCCTGGCCTATTTCCTGAAGAGCCATGCGTTCACGCGCGTGGGTATTCTCTGCCCCAATACCCCGGCTTTCTTGGAGGCTATCTTCGGCATTGCTGCTGCTGGGGCGGTGCAGGTTGGTATGTTTTTTTCCGTCTATTTCTAGGGTATATGTAGTTTGTTTGGCTTCGCGGATTGGGAGACTTTGCCGTATACTTCTGTAAGGGATCGATGCTGACTTGGCTTTACTCCTATAGCGGTGAATTACCGTCTCAAGGAAGAAGATATCGCCTATATCTTTACACATTCAGAGGTGGAGGTGATTATTGTGGACCAAGAGTTTCTGCCCCTCTTACAGCGCTATCGGGCGACGAAACCTGATGTGGCAGTGATTGTGGATACCGATACCGATGAGACGGAAGGGCAGTTGTCCGGGCCGTTTGATGATGCGGTCTTGGAGGGGTTAAGGTTCGATGCAGAGACTGGGGCTCGAGGGTGGGAGGGGCTGGAAGCTCAGGCGGCCGCGGAGGAGGATGTCCTCGCCTTGGCTTATACGAGTGGAACTACGGCCAAGCCGAAGGGGGTGGAGCTCACCCATCGGGGATGCTACCTGGCATCGTTGGCGAATCTGGTCGAGTCTGGGCTGAATGTGCATGAGGGGCGGTGCAAGTATCTGTGGACTTTGCCGATGTTCCATGCGGTTGGTGAGTGTTTCTTCTGCTCAAGCATGCCAAAGGACCTAGGAGAGGAAAGGGACTGATGCTGTGGCACAGGGTGGACCTTTCCATGGGCTGTGACGGCCGTCCGGGGTACGCATTACTGTCTGCGCAAGATCGATTATCCGCAGATCTGGAGGCTGCTGAAGCAGGAACGCATCACGCATTTCAATGCGGCGCCGACGGTGAATACTCTACTTTGCAACTCCCCGCAGGCTGAACGGCTGCCGCAGCCGGTGCGCGTGACGGTGGCGGCTAGTCCTCCCACGGGCCATCTGTTCGAGCAGATGACCGTTCTTAACCTGCATCCTGTGCATACCTACGGGATGACGGAGACGTACGGTCCCATCACCAAGGGGTACCATATGCCAGCGTGGGACAATCTCACCCCGACCGAACGGTATGAGAAGATGGCGAGACAGGGCCATGGATTCCTGACCAGTCTGCCGGCCAGGGTGATCAAGACGGATGTTCCCGAGGGCACGGTTGTAGACGTCCGCCGGGACGGCAAGGAAATCGGGGAGATCGTGTTTGCCGGGAACATATGTTCCCGCGGCTATTACAAGGACCCTGAGGCGACGCGGAAGCTGTTCCTTGGTGGCGTGCTCCATTCCGGCGATCTGGCTGTCTGGCATCCCGATGGGGCCATCCAGATTCTGGATCGAGCTAAGGATATCATCATCAGCGGTAAGATAGACCCCTGAGCTGTTTTTTTGGCTTTCATCCTTGCAGCGGGTCCCCCCCCCCGGAATGCTGTGCTGACGTATGGCTTTTAGGGGGTGAGAACATCTCCTCAGTTGCCTTGGAGGCGCAGCTGGTGATCCACCCCGACATTCTGGAGGCTGGGGTCGTGTCGGTTCCAGATGCGCACTGGGGCGAGCGTCCCAAGGCCTTCATTACCGTCAAAGAAGGTAGGGAAGTAGATGGCAAGGCGGTCATCGAGTGGGCGCGGAATGCCAGCGGCATCAGTAAATTTATGGTTCCTCGCGAGGTAGAGGTGGTGGCGGAGCTGCCCAAAACGAGTACGGGGAAAATCAGAAAAAATATACTGCGCGACTGGGCTAAGGGGGCGTCTCGGACGTGAAAGAGATGGTGGATTGGTTCTCGGGGGAGAGTATGGTCTTGTTCTGGTTGAACGGATTATGACTTTATATAGATTAGATAGAGTGTTGCGGGAGACGATAAGGGTGTACACATGGATTCTCTTTGATTTCCCCCCTTCTTTGACAAAACATGTAGTCGGGTAGTGAAAAGGGGCAATGGCGGACGAGCTTTGCAGAACTTATTCCAAACATGGTTCGAAGGAGGGAGTAATCCGAGGTGGATCCTATCTGTCTCAGATGCGAACCACCGGGGATGGTGAAGGCAACGAGCATGAGAGGGAAGGGGGAAGCTTTGGATGAAACTGAAAGTAATCGGAGCTCAGCTCCAATGCTTTTTAGCACTTCACCTGGTAGGTAGTCATGATTATTTAGTGGATCTGCTAGTGCTCGTCAAGGAATGCTAATAATAATCATGATACCTTTGATGGTAGAGTGAATTGAGGGATAGCTTAGTAGTTAGTGGGCGCACGGGTCAACACAACCACCCAAGAATAGCATAAGTCAATATGGATGATGTCGTTCGGCAGCGGGCTTCCCTGGCAGTTAAAGTAATCAATCAACTTTCCCCTCCTTTCTCACCTTAAGTTCGCCATCAAGCGTTGTTCGGGATTGAAAAAAAAAAAAAAAATTTTTTTTAAAAAAAAAAAAAAAAAAAAAAAAAGAAATATAAAGTTACTGTTGATTAGGCTGAGGTCAGTGAATGAGGTACCTCTTGTCTACCTTAATCATCCTCTTTCTTTTCTTTCTCCTCTCCCGCCTTTGCAACCGCCTTATTCTTCTTCTTTCGTCAGTCCTTCTCCGTCCCAACCCCCCCCTCCCTCTCCCCTCATCATCAACATTCAACATCATCAACATCATCATCATTCCTCCTCCTCTTCGCACCCTTCACCCCGACAGCCCACTGTCGCTACTTTGATTACCTGTAACTACCACCTCTTGACTCTATCCTACTATACGATACTTACATTTCCCCCTGATCGGACTTACAGATCTTCTGGACGCACCCAATCCCGCCCCGGGTCTCACCCTTTCGGTCCTCCGACCGGGATTCCTCCTCCCTCGCCTCCTCCGCCGCCCGACGCCGTCCTCTCTCTCCTCCTCTCCCTTTCCCCTCCTTTCCCTTGCCTTGCCTTGCTTTACCTTCGTCGGCATTCTATCGCAGGCTCTTTCGACGCGTGTTTCTTCCTCTCAACCCCGACCAACCTGATCTCAACTCGCCTCTTCTTCTGGCCCCCTCGACCTTTCCGATTTCCCAGGGCGAACCTCAAATCTCCAGATCGGTCTCGAATCTCTGATCACACTTCCGGCTTCCCCTCTATAATAGGTGACAGCCGCATTTTATATGAATAGTTTCTCCACCAAACGCACAACACGTTGTATCCTGGCCGAAAGAGGACAGCGACCAGCCCTTCACCTCCCTCTCCCAACAAGCACGCTTGCCACCACTTTCCAACGTTGGTCCTGATGCCCCGCTCAAGGCAACCCGCTCGGTTCTCGAGCGAAGCTCCCTCCGAATCCTCCTCCTCGACCTCCCCCGATCGCACCGCCGACGATGACACCGACTTCTTCACAGCCCAGGCCAACGATTCAGAGTCCTCCGTGGGCGCTGTAAATGGCCGGGATTCTCATGCATATTACGACTCAGATCGGGCCCTGCCGCCCATCGGACGGTTGCCTCCGGAGATCTTAATCGCCATCTTTGCCAAACTGAGTTCGCCAGCCGATATGATGAGCTGTATGCTGGTCTGCAGAGGATGGGCGGCAAACTGCGTGGCGATCTTGTGGCACCGGCCATCATGCAACAGCTGGGACAACATGAAGAGCATCAGCACCACAGTGGGCAAGCCGAGCAGCTTCTTTCCTTACTCGGACTTGATCAAGAGACTGAACCTGTCCGCGCTCTCGGGCGATGTCAGCGATGGAACGGTGATGACCTTTGCTCAGTGCAACCGCATCGAGCGATTGACGCTGACCAACTGCTCCAAACTGTCGGACAACGGCGTGTCAGACCTGGTGGAAGGGAATCGCCATCTACAAGCGCTGGATGTGTCGGACTTGGGGCATCTCACCGACCACACTCTGTACACGGTGGCTAGAAACTGTCCCCGGCTCCAGGGGCTCAATATCACGAATTGCACCAAGGTGACGGACGAGTCCCTGCTTGTCGTGTCTCGTAATTGCCGACAGATCAAACGGGTAGGTGTCCATGGCTACTCTGGATTCTACATCATGGCTGCTAATATGTGACAGTTAAAACTGAACGGAGTCGCGCAAGTCACGGACAAGTCCATTCTGTCGTTCGCTCAAAGCTGCCCGGCCATTCTGGAGATTGACCTTCATGACTGCAAGCTTGTCACCAACAAGTCGATAACTGCCTTGATGGCGACACTGGCTAATCTCCGTGAGCTACGACTGGCCCACTGCACCGAGCTCGACGATATGGCCTTTCTGGAGCTGGCGCCGCATATTTCCCTGGACAGTCTACGCATCTTGGACTTGACATCCTGCGAGAATGTCAGGGACGCGGCAGTTGAGCGAATTGTGGCATCGGCGCCACGCTTACGAAACCTGGTGCTCGCAAAGTGTCGATTTATTACGGATCGCGCAGTCTGGGCCATTTGCAAGCTCGGCAAGAATCTGCACTACGTCCACTTGGGACACTGCTCCAACATCTCGGATGCAGCCGTGATGCAGTTGGTCAAGTCCTGCAACCGAATCCGGTATATCGATCTGGCGTGCTGTACCCGTCTGACGGACGCAAGTGTGCAGCAGCTGGCTACGTTACCCAAACTCCGGCGTATCGGCTTGGTCAAGTGTGCCAACATCACCGACAACAGCATTCTAGCCTTGGCGGGTCCCAAGGCTTCCCACCATTCAGCAGGAATCAGTAGTCTAGAGCGGGTGCACCTCAGTTACTGCACTTTACTCACCCTCAGAGTATGTCGTCGAACATTGGTCTTTGTCTGGGATAATGCTAACTGGCTGCAGGGAATCCATGCTCTTGTCAACAGCTGTCCTCGTCTGACACACCTCAGTCTAACGGGAGTTCAGGAGTTCTATATGCGAAAAGAATTAACCGAGTTCTGCCGCGAGGCGCCTCCCGAGTTCACGCCGCAACAGCGCGACGTTTTCTGTGTATTCAGCGGCGACGGTGTGAACCACTTGCGTAACCAACTGAACCATATGATCCCCCCTCCACCGCCGCAGGACATGACGGAGGCGACCATGTATGATGACGACGAAGAACTCGACGAGGATGAGGGCCAGGTGACTGGCCTGATGCGCGCGACGGCGGCCACGGCGATTAACGACGATGATTACATTGACATTGGACATACACCCAGTTGATACCCATACCCATTTTCCTCTCCTTATCTTTGAGCGTGTCTTGTGCATCGGATCTTATCATCTATCATTTTTTTTGTGTATGGTTTTACCACATGGTGTCGTTTTCATTTCCATTGTTGTGATATTCCTTTCTTTTTGGGCCAAGCAGCGAGGGGTTCCAATTCTGTTTGCGTGCACACAGGGGTTTCCGTTATGAATTTGCATAGTCGGTAGCGGTTTATCTATCTGGGAGCTGGTTGTTGGGTTGCGTTTTCTTCGGGTTGAGGCTGACTGGCGGTTGCGTTCGTCTTTTGAGGGGTGGGGACTTCAACTTTCTCTGCCTTCTGCGCTCTGCGCTCTGCGCCCTGCTGCCATATACATCGCTTTGGGGGAAATGCAGGGTGAACCGAACAACAAAAATCAGTTTCTTCCTAAGGAATTATCGGTATGAGCAGTGATCTACCATCGGGAGGACAGAGGGAGATTTGGTCTGCCTACCGTGACCGTATTAGAATTGAGTAACTTATAGAGCAGCAGCAGCAGTATAGTTGTTGCGGGAATGCAATTACTCTGAGAGTGAATTAGCGATTGAGCTCCATGAGATAATTGAACTACTATTGTACCGTATGCATAACTGGAGGTTGACTGAAGTTGACCGAAGGTGACTGAATGGACATGGACTAAGCGGTGACATAATGACGGGTCTTCATGGGCCGATCAACCATCATTCCATTTCCGTTCCGTCCGTTCCTTCTCCGCATTCTCTCCCTCCCTCCCCGAACAACCTTCAACTACAATACACTGTAGCTCAGCCCAGCTCAGTTCCAGTCCCCGCTCCAGCTCAGCCCAGCCAAAAAGAAGGCTTGTGCAACAGCTGAGAGCGACTACGGACACTCCCCTCAGCTTGTACAAATACAGTGGGAAAAAAAAAGAGCGAGGCGGGAGAGAAAGAGAGCAAGATGGCTACCCCGCGCGCCAATCCGCTGGCCTTTACGCGATGGCCCGTGACTCTCATTACGACCGCCGTCTACCTCGCCTTTGTGATTCCCCTCCTGGTCGTCCACCACGTGCTCCCCTCGGCGCCCAGTGCATCCTCCACCCCCAACGGCCTCGATCTCCACGAAGCTTGGGCCGATCTACAGGTCCTAACCAACGGGTACCATCCGTATAACTCGCGCCGGAACGACGAGGTCCGAGAGTGGCTTCTCCGCAGAGTGAAGGAGATCGTCCACGACAATGACGCGGATACGCCCGGGCAGTCTGACCACCAGGCTTACCAGGACCAGGGCTTCCAGGAGCCTCCTACGATCTACAACGCCGACGCCGAAACTCGACCCACCGTCTATATCTTCGACGACAACCAGTCCAACCTCTCCTTCGTCGGCAATACCCTCAAGTCGTCCAACACCGCGGTCTACTTCGAAGGCACCAATCTCCTGGTCTACATCCGTGGGGAGGATGACGAGGACCTGGTACTGGGATCGGACGCAGGAAGTCCCGGAGGAGGGGGAGGGGTGCTGGTCAACGCCCACTATGACAGCGTCTCCACCGGCTATGGTGCGACGGATGACGGCGTCGGCGTCGTCACCTGTCTTCAGTTGATCAAGTACTTCACCACCCCGGGCCATGCCCCGCGTCGCGGCGTGGTGGTGCTGTTCAACAACGGCGAGGAGGATTTCCTCAACGGCGCGCGCGTCTTCAGTCAGCACCCGCTGTCCAAGTTCACGCAAACCTTCCTGAATCTGGAGGGCGCCGGCGCCGGTGGCCGGGCGATCCTGTTCCGAGGCAGCGACACGGAAGTGACAAGGAACTATAGGCGCGCGAAACACCCGTTCGGGTCGGTGTTGGCGGCCAATGGGTTTGAGGTCGGGCTCATCAGTTCCCAGACGGACTATGTTGTGTTCGAGGGCGATCTGGGCATGAGGGGCTTGGATGTCGCGTTCATGGAGCCTAGGGCCAGATATCATACCGACCAGGATGATTCGAGGCACACGACTATGGAAAGCCTGTGGCACATGCTGGAGGCGGCGGTGAAGACGACCGAGGGGCTGGTCAGTGATGATAGTGATGCTGGGAAGAGAGGATCGCGCGGAGTGTGGTTCGATCTCTTCGGAGCGACCTTCGTCGTGTTCCAGCTGCATACCTTGTTTGCGCTGTCGGTGACGATGCTCATTGTCGCGCCCCTGGGCTTGTTGGTCACGAGTGTGGCCCTAAGCCGGGCCGACAAGATGTATCTGTTCCGGTCTACGGTCACGTCGCTCGACGATGGGGAGGCCGTGTCGCTGCAGGGACTGCGCGGGTTCTTCCGGTTCCCCTTTCTGTTTGTGATCCCGACGGCCGTCACGGTTGGGTTGGCGTACCTGGTGACTAAAGTCAATCCGTTGATCATCCACAGCAGCGAGTATGCAGTATGGGGCATGATGCTGTCGGCCTGGACGTTTCTGGCCTGGTTCGTGTCGCGCGTCGCCGACTTTGCGCGTCCCTCGGCTTTCCACCGCGTCTATACTCTGACGTGGATGTTTGTGCTCGCCTGGGTGATGTTGGTGATTGCGACGGTCTACGAGAACCAGTGGGGCCTGGCTGGCGGGTATTGGGTCTTTTTCTCCTTCTGTGGCACGTTCCTGGCCACCTGGATCTCCTATCTTGAGCTGTTCGCTCTGCCTCGAAAGTCGGAGTACGCCAGCCAGTATGCGCCGGTGCCGGCGTCGTCGCGCCGTCCCAGCAGTTATGGCGGCAGTCGACTGGGCACAGCCTCGGGCGAGGAGCACACCTCGGAGCACGACGGAGACGAGCACGTCGACTCGGACGACGAGCAACCCACTGAGTCGACGTCTCTGCTGGGAGGCGGCCAGCGTACGACGTTTGCCAACTACGTGCGCGTCACGGGGGAGCATGAGGGCCACGACGAACCCACCGATCCGCATGTTTACGGCCACGAGCAACGCTGGAGCGCACACCTGCCGAAATGGACCTGGGTGCTGCAGTTCCTGCTGACGGCACCGATTGTGCTCATCATGGTCGGGCCCCTGGCGTTGCTGCTGACCAGCGCATTGCATCAAACCGGCCAAGACGGCAGTTCATCTCTGTTCATCTACATCTCCATCGCAGCCCTAACCACCTTCCTTCTCACCCCACTCCTCCCTTACATCCACCGCCACACGTATCATATCCCTCTGTTCTTGCTGGCGATTTTCCTGGGGTGCCTGATCTACAACCTGGTTGCGTTCCCGTTCTCGGCGTCTAACCGCCTCAAGATCTTCTTCCACCAGGAGATCAACCTCGACACAGCCGCCACCAACGTGTCGCTGATCGGGATCTCGCCCTTCGTCGCCCAGGTTGCGCACGCGCTCCCGAGCGTCCACGGCCAGGAGCTGGCTTGCCGCCCGCTCGCTGCCCGCACGAAGTGCTACTGGCCCGGTCCCATGCCGGATGTTGTTCCCTCGGCGCCCGAGGACTACCAGTCCTGGCTGACCTTCAACGTGTCCGCCACGGAGTCCTCAGCCTCCTCGCATCTCGCCGCGGAGCAAGGCGACAACCTTCAAACCGCTCAGATCCAACTCTCCGGCCTCAACACCCGCGCCTGCCGGATCACCTTCGACACCCCGATCTCCTCCTTCAGCGTGGCCGGCAGCGCGTACGACCCCCGCTTCCCGCACACGTCCCCGCTGGGCACGCAGGAGATCCGCTTGTGGAGCCGCGAGTGGGAGAATACCTGGACCGTGGATGTGGAGTGGACCGTGCCACCGCCGTCCCTCGCGCCGCCGCCGCCCACCACGGAGGCCGTGATCGATCCGGCGTCCGGGGAAGAGGAGTACGTCCTCGTCGACTCCCTGTCGTCAACTGCAGCTGCCGCTGCAGCCGATGATGGCGATGACGAAGGTAAGACGAAACTGAAAGGACGGGTCGTCTGTCTCTGGAGCGACCACAATCGCATCGGAGCCATCCCCGCCCTCGACGAGGTCAAACAGTATGCGCCGGTCTGGGTGGCGGCTACGAAGTTCTCAGATGGGTTGGTGGAAGGCTATAAGGAATTCGAGATCTGATTCTTGCTTTCCTTTTTTTTTTTTTTTTTTTTTTTTCTCTTTGTCTTGATGTCGTCCAAGCCTGTAAGCTCCTGATTAGCTGTTTCTGTTGGCTCGTGGTTTTTGCTTTGGCCTGGCCTGGCCTGACCTTTACCTCTGATCGTATGCTTTGTTTCTTGCTTTTATTATGTGTGTATGTGTCCCTGTGGGGCTTGGGTTAGCTTTTATGGATGGATTTGTTTGTGTGTGTCGTTGTTTGGGCGGCTTGGTGTGGTTGGGTCCGGTGGGGCTGGGTAGGGTAGGTAATGTTGATGTTGGGGGTTATGCTGATGCTTGGTGCTGATGCTGATGCTGATACTCATTCTCAAATGACGATACGCATACAGTACAACTCTCCTGTGGTAGAATGTGATGTGATACATGTATACAGCAACTAGCAACCATCCATACCCCATAATGTAGCTCGACTCCCAGTGCGCATGCACTTGTATTGTAGTTTCCTCCTTCTTACTTGCCTACTTGCCTACATACCTACTCGCCTACTGCATACGAAAACACACTCGGAAATCCCTCAAATCACAGCTTCCCTCCCTTCCTCTCTTCTGTTGAATATGTCAGTGAGTCAAGATAGAAGCAGGAGCAGAAGCAAGAGCAGGAGCAAAGCATAAATGTCATGAGTGTTCGAGAGCCAGGTTAGGTTATAATACATTAACTAGAAGAAAAATGATGAAATGGGGGGGGCCGGTAAAACAAAAAAAGAATAGAAAAGATTAAAAAAAAAAAAAAAAACTAGCATACACTCCTTTTTTCTTTCTGCCATGTGCCTCACGAGTAGCAGAAAGAGAGACTGTAAACTTGCAGAAGCCTCGTTTTCTATCCATGGGAATTTGGGGGGTAAAATAACAGTATGTCAGACGTTTCAAATCAGGTTCGTCTCGTGGCCTTCCGAGGCGGTCGTCAATCAATAAATTGTTGGTAGGGTGGGTAGAAAAGTGGGTGGGTGGGTTGGTGAGGAGGTGTGAATGTGGTATGGTATGTAGGTAGGTAGGTAGGTAGGTAGATTTTCTTCTTAGTCTTCTCTCCTGTTTTTGTGAGGGAGTCCCAGGGAACTTAGTAACACCCATCACCCCTTCATGGTGGCGAGGAAGGAGTCGAGGTTGTATTCTTCCTGGTACTGGCGGTCGTCCCAGAGCTCGCCCAGATCGTCCAGCCAGCCCTTCTTGCCCTTTTCTTTGACCTCGCCGTCGATGTCCACCATGTCCACCTCGTTGCCGGTGGGCTCGCTGGGTTTCTCGGCGTTGTCGGCGGTTTCGCCGAGGTTGAACAGGTCAAGCAGTTGATCCGTGTCCATTGTGTTCAGGCCGGCGTTCTGTTGGTTGACTACCGTCGAGGCGACGTCGATTTTGAATCGTTGCAGACTAGAGGGTTTTCCGTGGTTAGTACGATATGCTCAAATGAGGGTTTGAGGACCAGGAAAACTCACTTCAAGATCTTCTCCTCCAATGTACCTCGCGTGATCAACCGGTAGACATTGACGACCTTCTTCTGTCCGATACGATGGGCACGATCCATGGCCTGGATATCCTTCTGCGGGTTCCAGTCGTGCTCCACGAAGATCACTGTGTCGGCTCCCGTCAGGTTCAGACCCAGACCACCAACGCTGGTGGTCAAAAGCAGAACGTCATAGCTCGGGTCGGAGTTAAAGCGGTTGACAATGTCTTGACGCTTGGTTGCCTCGACACCACCGTCCAACCGGAGATATTGGACCGAAGGAAGAAGCTTCCGCAGGACCTCACTCTGGACGATATCAAGCATCTCCTTCATCTGGCAGAAGATCAGGGCTCGGTGCGGGCTCACGTAGCTAGTTCCTGTTCCCAGGTCGCCCTCCGTCGGCGGATCAATGCCAATTCCGCAGTCGAGAAGCAGGTCGCGCAGAGCGCTGAGCTTCGGCGCGTGGGACACGTCCCGGATGTTGGAGTGCTTGGTGGTCAGATACTGCTGAACCTCGTTGTACTGTTTGTGGCCTTCCTTTACCACCAGCGCGGGCGAGTTGCAGAGACGCCGCATGTACTGCAGTGCCTGGAAGATATGCTCCTTGTCCGACTTCTCCGAGCTTCCCATCTTGTCGGCCAGCTCCTTCTGCTCCTTCTTGGAGAAGTCCTCAAAGAGTTTCTTCTGCAGCTCACTGGGATCACAGTAGTAGTTCTGGATGATCTTCGGCGGCAAGTCGTTCAGGACCTCCTCCTTCAGACGACGGAGCAGGAACGGCAGCACCTGCTTGTGTAACGCCTCGATCGCGAGTGCGCCAGCTTCCTGTTCTTTGGAAGATGACTTGCTGAATCGACTGGCTGCAATGGGCTTGGCGAATCGGTCTAAGAAGACCTTTTCTGTGCCTAGAAACCCGGGCATCAAGAAGTCGAACAACGACCACAGCTCCAGTACGTTATTCTGGATGGGTGTACCAGAGAGGATCAAACGATGATTGCTCTGGAGGCGCTTGACCGCGATCGTCACCTTGGCCTTGGGGTTCTTGATCAAATGACCCTCGTCTAGCACGCAGTAGTTCCAGCTGATCGGACGCAGAACATCGTTGTCATTGCGACAGATATCGTACGATGTTACGACGATATCCGCCTCGCTCAGGCTGTCTTGCAGTCTGGCGCGCTCTGCTGGGGGCCCCACATAAGCAACACAATTCAGGAACGGAGCGTACTGCTTGACCTCTTGCTGCCAATGACCAGAAAGAGAGGGCGGGCACACGATCAAAGACGGAAGCTTTCGGACCTCTGGCGCTTGGGTCTTCTCGAACTCTTCGGCTCGCAGATGATGATCACTTGCGACAATGCAGATCGTTTGCAGCGTTTTACCAAGACCCATATCGTCACAAAGAATACCATGGAGATTGTAGCGGTTGAGAAAAGCAAGCCAGTTGACACCTTCCTGCTGGTAAGGTCTGAGCTCCGCTTTAATCGCAACTGGCAATGAGAACTCTTCCACCTTCTTGGAATCCAACATCTGAGCCATGAACTTCCTCTCCCGATCACGACCCTTGAGCAGTTCCTCGGAGAGACCGGGAGGGTCGGGAATGCCAGCTTCCAAGGGGACGAGTTTGACCAGCGTGGCGAAAGACGTCGTCGCTAGCAGTCTCACGTCGTTATCAGAATCGCTCATTCGTCCAAGCACGGGTACGACAAGGAAAATGACGTATGGAAGGATACGATCCTCCATCACATGGATTAAATGGTAAATAGACTCGACGGCTCCTTGACGGTGGTGGACATCTAACGGATCGTTGATGGTTGGCAGCACCTTCTCTACCAACATCGTCATTCCCTCTACCGAGATGACGCTACAGATAGTCGCAAAGCACTTGGCGGCCGCATATCGGATGACCGACAGACGACACTGCAGAGCCTTGATAATAAGAGGCATGAGACCGACTACCCAGGTGTGGAGTCCACGATCGAATTTGGGTAGCAGGGCGCGCAATGTGGACAGTCCATCAACAACTTCCTGGCCCAAATCATTGTCCGGATTAAGGATGTCCTCCGGAAGATTCCCAGTAAGCGTGTCTTTGAGAGGCCGCTCGACCAGCGTGGCAAGGTTAGGCACCTTTTCCAAGAGATCGGGACCGAATTTGACCGCAAGTTGCTCGAGAGCGTCCTTAGCACCCCGACGCATGATCCGCGCCGCCTTTGCCTCTCGTTCAAACTTGGCTGCGTCAGGATGATCCCGTCGATCCTCCTCCTTCCGCAGGGAAAGGATGGACTTTTCCAGCGAGGCATTGTGGTGGAATTCGGGGGTCTCGGACGAGTCTACACAGCAGTATTTGACCAGGTTTCCAATGACTTTGTCAACCGGTCCGCGTTTGGTGGCCATGGTGTAGTACTCCACCAAGGTTGAGATTGCCGTAGCCGAACGCTGTTGGAGTTCAGCATTTTCTTCCTTCTTGATGCTGTCCATCATGCCCTTGATGATATGACCCGGCTTCTTTGGAATGTCATGCAGGGCCACCAGCGCACCAGCCGCAGCTGCCAGCACCCGAAGATCCCTCTGTTCCCGGACATTCTTTGCTTCTTCGACAGAGTTCTCTGCGGTTGCCCGCGTGTCATTGAGGACCTGCAGAGCAGTAATGCGCTGAGCGGGTGCCAGGCCTTTCTTCAACCGCTCGAAGTCCGGTCCAATGACCTTCTCAGCATCTGCCAATGAGAACGCACTTGGGCCGGCCTCGGCGTCTCCTTGGACAACGACAGCAAGGGTCGGGAGTCTTGAGCTAGGGACATGGGCATGGTCGCGGAAGGCATTGAGCAACGAGTGACACTGGGCGCGGGCAACATGAAGATAGCAGGCAATATCACCGTACCACAGCGGTCGGTCGCCTTCGATGATCGGACGCAGATGCTCGCAGAGAGTCGAGGAATACTTGCTGCTTGGGCCGGCCACTCTGGCATATTCCTCGATGATCATCGCAGACGAGAGCTGAGACGTGGATGCGGAGTGCTTCAAGCCCTCCACAATAGACTGCCACAGACTCGGGAGTGCGCTCTTATCCCAGACAGACAGAAGCTGGCCCAGCGCCTTGGCGGCATATATCTTGGATCGTAACATGGTATCGGCGCCTACCAAGTCAATATCGCCCTGGAGCATGTGGCCGTCCACGTTATGAGCTGACATGGTAGGGACTTCCTTCTTTTCGGCCTTGCGTCCACGCTTCTTGATCCCATCAGGCTGCGCACTGACTGCACTAGGGGAGGACTTGGCTGGTGCAGCAGCGCTCATCGGGAATGGAACGCCCGAGGGCTTGATGAAAAGGGAAGCATTCATCGGAATAGGGTACCGCGGAACGCCAAAGGGAGACAATGTCAGGATAATCAAGGGTTGGATGTGACTCAGAAGGTCAGCTTCGGTCTGGAACAGGCCGCGCGACTCTAGTGCTCTAAGCAGCTCCGACCACACCTGAAGAGAAAGCTTGAGCACACCCTCGTTGCGCTCGACTAACAAGTTCTGGAAAATCAGACGCAGGGCCTTGCCATTCACCCAGTCATTTGTGCCCTCGCCTTCGAGCTGCAAGAAGGTAATGAGAGCCCGGAGAACTGCTGAACGGACGCTGGTGATGGTGTGTCGCAGGAAAGGGTAGAGGCGAGGGACCAGGTTTCCGAACGAGGACTCGGAATCCACAGACGCATTTGTTTTCATCGCATCCAAAACTTCGCGGAATGTGCAGAGCTTGGCCAGTAGATCCATGACCGAGCCCGTACTGGCGCTCAGGTCATCTTGTAGGTTCGACAAGCAGTCCCAAACAATGGTCATCAAATTACCCAACGTGCTTTGTCGAGAAGCCACAAATTCCTCGGCCATCGGAACCAGGGTTGCAGCGCTGACAGCCCTCACATCGTCGTCGAAGTCTCCCAGTCCCTTCATCACAGCCTCTAAGACACCGTCCATAAGTCCACGATCCTTCACCAGGATATCTTTGCGGACCGCAACCAAGTACCGGAGGCCGATCATACCACCGTGGCAGACTTCCCAGATGGGCCGGACCAGACCCAGGTCCTTCTGCATAATGATCCGGTACAGACACTTGTAGACTGAAACCACGGAACGCGAAGGGAGCTGGGACAAGAGTGCACCAAGTGTTTGACCCACAGTCTCTCTGATGGGCGCCACAACATTGTCGGAGATGTAGTCACCAAACCGGTCAAGCATGAGAACACAAAGTAGTCGGCAGGCGAGATCATCCAGATACTGCCGATTGAGGACATTGTTTTCTGCCCTGCTTCTACCGCGTACACGACCTGCGCCAGCACCTTGAACGCGGATAACCTCCCGAAGTGCCATTGCGGCTCCGTGGCGCACCTCCCAGTTAGGGTCGAAAATATCTACCATGAGGAACTCGCACATGGGATCGTACGGCCATGAGTTGCTGGGACCCTCATCGGTGATCTCTGGCTGGATGTAGGACTTTTCTGGGACAACCGATCCTTTGAATTCGGAAACGATCTTCTGGTCGTCGTCGCCGCCGGTCGACCGGTCAAGGTTGAAGTAATCCTGCTTTACGTCGCCATTGCGCTCCTCGCCGTTCTCCGCCTTAATCGGATGAGGAGTAGTAGCTGAAGGGGTGGTGACGTTGTCCGACGGTCTCCGAGTCGACAGATCCACGACTCGGACCTTGTTGGCGCCCATTTTTGCGCTCTGTTTGTTTTTTCGTTTCAGTTGGTTCAACTGTCGCTTACTGAGCCCGGCCTCCTCGCCGTTGGCGGGCTCCATAGGCGATGCAAGAGGGGTGGTAGAGGGCAGATGGTGGATACTATCTCTATGTTGGGGAGCCTCCTCCTTGACTCCAGGCGTCTTTAAGACGAGATCGCCGTCATCAATCAGATCCTCCTCGATGTACTCTCCGGCAAGACCCAGACGAGCGTGCAAGGTTTTCTTCTGGTGCTGGAGTCGAGCGGCTGGATCCATGCCGGCCAATGAGTATTCGTACTCCTTGCCTGCGCTTCCCAACAGCCGCTTGCCGTATTTCAGGATGGCGGCGATATCCATGGTTTCAAGTCTAAGGAGATCACTGGCAATGGCGGCCGATGCGCCTTCCGACTTGATCTCGACGCCGTCATCTTCATCGTCAGCCTGTTTGATGTGATCGCCATCTTCCTCATTGGGGTCGAAGGTGTCTGCATTAGTGACGATCAAGCCAATTGCCTTAGCGGCAGCTGTTCTAGTGTCCCAAGACTTTGAACGCAGATAGGGCAGAATGCGACCGAGCAAGTTGAAGAGTTCATCCGGATGTTGCTTCTGCACGTCGGCCAGCTGTTGAGCCGCAGTATTGCGGATGAGCGGCGTGCTGCCTGTCTCAAGTAACCTGCAGGTGGTGATTGGTCAGTTCGTCCCTTCCTTAGGTAAGCGTGCAGGGATGGGGTTGAAGCTAAGGTGTCGATTACTCACGTGACTAGACGGTCAAGTCTAGAACAAAATGGGTTAGTGGCCGGTACCAGACGGAAGCGGAATGGCAGGAAACTTACCTGGAAGTCATGGCGGGATTCAGGTTGTGACGAGGAAGCTATACAGAGGGTCGTAATATAACACAGCCAAAAATAATCAAAAGAGAAAAAAGGAAGCTGATAGCACAACAAAAGGCAGGGGTATCGTGAACGAAGCCGAAGAAAGTGACCAGAATTATTAACAAATTAATGGTAAAACCAATCTCCTTTCAGTTGCACACCACAACCCCCTTCCGGAAATTAAGTAAAGCAAGAGAACGACGGAGCGTGGAGGAGAGGGAGATGTAAACTAAACACGACGGTTACACCCACGTCACAGCCATCGAGTCAACGTCGAGTTATGCGTCAGAGGGGAAGAAGGAAAAGGTTAAAGGGCAAAAAAAAAAAAAATGAAAGAAAGAAATGAATAATGAATAAAGAAAATCCAGACACACTGGACGAAATCAGTTCCGTCAGATCACAGGGCGATCGGAGCGAAAGCTGATGAGTGGAGATCCGATCCTAATCTAGGCACGGTTGTCACCAGGTGGAAGTAAAATGGCCGTAGCCGAGCTGAAGGTTGTTATAATGAATAGTCACTCCGCGTGGATGCAATGAATCATGTGAATCATGAAGGATTCCGGAATGGAAAAGAATTCGAGGTAATGATATCAGAAATTCAATTCCACGAGTTAAAAAAAAAAAAAAAAAGAATTCGGAAGATGACGGGAATGTAATGGAGTTGGCGATGAAGGGTCGGAGACCAGTCTGAGACAGGCTGAGTTGAGTAGTACTTGAAGTGGTGGTTGTGGTGGTGGTAGTAGTAGTAGTAGTAGTGGTAGTACTCAATAGCTCTCAACTTTGTAGCTTTGTACTTAAAGTAGGTAAAATAGGTTAAGTAAGGACAGCGGACGGACGGGGCGTGTACCGGGGCTGGGGCTGCACAGGAGCATCAACAAGAGCTGCTCGGCCTGCCCTCGAGGTCACGCAGCCTGTTTATATCATTGGGGGCATCTTTGCCTGGGCGCGCCTACCCATACTTGGGCCCTGGGCACTAGCCTGCTTCCGGCTTAGTACCCCCCACTCCCGTAAAGGTTTTCGTTGAGTCACGTGAGTTATTCTCCCTGCGCAGGAAAAAAAAAAAGGAAGGGGAAAAAAAGAAAAGAAAAAAGAATAGCTTGCTTGCTTGAAATTGATTGTATGAGTACAAGTAATTCTTAACCTAGCCTATGTCTACTCTCCTACTTGCATATGCTATACCAACCCAGACACTCACTTAACAGATAATAGGCTCTACCAGGGAACAATCCCTCTCAGACGAATAATAAGCTATCGCTATATTGCGATTCCGTCAGCAGCCGGACGGGGATAGGCCCTGCGTGTTGCATTCAATAATCCAACGCGCAGAGACGAATATATGTACTCTGTATGTAGCAACCTGTAAATGACTTGCGTGCGTTTCCAGTGAGACCGCCATGTGAGCTTGTTTCGATCGCCCCCTCCATAGCGTGCCAAGAAAATGCCAGATGGCCTCCTGCTTCCGCCGCAAATTCTTCGTCGCGCAATTCCAGACGACGACTACGGTGATGATTATTCTACTGCTGACGACTCCTTGAAGGTCACTCACGGCCCAGGCAGTCGATCCAGCCTTGACAACCCCCGAAAGATGACAGCCTCTGAGCCTCGGATGACGTGGGAGATTGATGAACCAATCACATCGTGTACATTGGTGCTTGAAAATCCCATAGACTAAATCCGGCTAGATATATATAGTTCCAGCTCCAGTCCTCGAATTCTGCCATCATGTCCTGCAAAACAGTGATATCGAGTACACACCAGAATATGATAAAAGTCTCCATGATTGTAATATTGCAGAGACCTGGAAGAAGATTATTGTCATCGATGTATCACTGATGACGGCTTTACACGTTGAATTGCCTTGCTTTGTTTTCGCCGTTTCTTTGTCTTGTCAATATACCTCTTGACTATAACACATGCCAAATAGAATTGATCCCCCGGAACTACACACAGCATTAGTCGGGGTCCGACCAATGACAAACAGTGCCATCTAGATATGTCACCATCAATTGCCGGAATTCGGATGTGCTGTCATCGTCATCATCATCATGGATGAAGAGCGACCATTGTCATTGCCGACCTCAAGCTTGGACCCAACACAAACCCGGCAGGCACAAAAAGGAAAATTGTCCATTTCTATACAGTGAAGGACCTCGCAGTGATGAACAGACAGAAAGGATAAACAAACCAGCAGAATCTTGGTAGTAATTGAAACAATCAACATGAAATCCACACTCCCTAAATGCGCACCACATGCCTCTCATGCCCGTGTCAAGAACGCAGCCGACTCTTCTTCCTTCCCTAGCAGTCCTAGGCTGCGGATCTGTTCGGCCTTGGGCGCATTGTCGCGGGGGTGGGCGGCCTCCGCCTTGCGGTAGGCAGCCTGCATCTTCATCGTGCGCATGATCTAGAGGTGAAAAGAGAGAGGTCAGTAAACGGACTATTACTCTTCCCACCTCGTCTATCCCGGTCCGTCTCAACGACCGAAATAATGCGAGGTGACAGATCACAATCGGTTCGTTCAAGCGCACCTCCTTCTTGTGGTGCAGGCACTCGTGGTAATCCTCCAAGGCAGGCAGACACTTCTTCTTGCCAACCTCACCCTCGGCTGAGTTGACCACATAGCAACCCAAGACCTCTTGCCAGAAGTTGTAGCAGCGGGAGGGACCTGCGAGAGAGAGCGAGTCAGCCGACAAAGTCCGCGGCGAAGCTGTCAAAGCGGGCACCTGGGCCGGCGAAGCCAGCCAAAATGGCAGTCAATTGCCCGCAGCCCAAGCAGAGAAGTAACATACCGCCGTTGTTACCGAAGCCGGAAGCCATTGTGAGGTTGAGAAAGGGCGGAAATAGGAGACCGAAAGGGCGGAGGCGCAGAGCGTTCGGAGAGGGGGTGGAGGGATTGCTGGAGCGGAGGTTTGAGTGAGAGAGTGAGTGCAGTGAGCGATCGAGGTTCGTTCTTCCACCGCCCGGGGCTGATTGGTCAATTGGCTGGATTCTGCTTTCCGCCTCGGAAGTCGGTCTGTGCACGGGACTCGGGACGGGAGGCTTGACGTCTTTCGTGGCTCACGAACACATCACCCTCTTTCCGTCAAGCTACCTCTTCTTGTTGTTATACCTTTGGCTTGGATTTCCTTACTCTCTTGCGCCATGGCCAGCTCCCCTCGGCTCTCAGGTGCTCATGCGATTCTGTTAGCTATTCACTTCTGTGTCAGCGGCGATGTCTCCCGGCTACCGCAACTCCAAGCTCAATACCCTCGCTTGCTGCCAACCGAGCGCCTCTTGCGCATCATACTTACCTTCCTCCCCGAGAGTAGCCCGCCCCAGACATACACCTCCGTTGTGGAAGCCTTGGTAGATGGAGAGCACACCATTTTAACGGCGGCAGAGCTTGACACATCTGCCGTCCAGAATTTGACCGAGACCATTGCAAGGAAACGAGTACGCAGGGTTCGTTTACTGCCGTTAAGGCATCCCGATGACGAGGACACCGACGACTCAACCGACCTCTTGACCCAATTCTTGATCCACCGCGCCCATCGCATCGACTCTGAAACTGCCCTCCAACCCCTCATTCTCGATCTTCTCGTACCATTCTATCCACGCTCTCCTATCCTCCGCACATGGTTAATCTCGAGTCTACTGCCCTTGCTGCGGCTGAATTACGAATATTACCCCAGCCAGGACGAGACGTTCTCTCTGGACATCCTTGAGTCGATGGACAACAGCATCGCCATTAATGTTCTACTTTCGATGGCCGGCAATATGAAAACTAGTATGGATTTAGTGCAAAATCTCCGCGGGCTGGTAGGTGCGTGGATGTATGGCAGCAACAGGACCAAGCGGCGGAAGCTCAACGAAGCCGCGCAGCAGAACACACTTTCACTTCCGCAGGACGATGTGAAACCGAAGACGAATGCAGGGGTAGGATGGCAGCAGGTTAACGAGTGGCTGCTGGCGCGCAGTTTGGTTGATCACGAGAGCGCAGTCAACGCATTCACGAACTGGGATGGCCCGGAGGATGTTGACCTGGGAGGCTATGCCGAGGAGGACCCTAACCTCCCGAGTGATGAGATGAAAGACTTACGGACGCGGTATGGGCAGACTGGACTGGCCGTTGTCTACGCAAATGCCGATGTCAGCGCAGCGGCCTTGGATGGGTCGATCAAAGTCCTTGCGCGGATCGCCAGTTTCTTGGACCTGGAACAGCATTTGTCTTTGAGAGACGATGATGCAGAACTACCATCAGTGGTATTTGACTCGGACCAGATCTCGTCTACCTCGAGAGTCTCCCTCATGCAGAATGCGCTTCTCACAACATCGAACCCGCTCACTCGTCCGTCTGCCGCTTCCATCTCGTTCCTCAGCGCCATTTGCGTCTCTCTCCAGGTGCTGAGTGAGCTCGGCCATCCTATACCCTGCCGTACAGCCGCAAACCTTTGTCTACACAACAATGTAGATACGCAACTGCTCGAAATGCGCGGTGTGGTTCAATCTGTAATCAGACAGAGCAAGCCTGGCCGAGACTGGGGTAAGGTTCGCCGGCAATTGCTCTGGCTGCGCGACTGGGAGGCAGATCACACGTCGCGACAGGATCAACGTCGCCCTGCTTACCACGGTCTCTTCTGGCGAGTAGATCGGGAAGCTGTTGAAGTCGAAATCTTGAAAGCTTTGCTTGAAGTCAGAGGTAAGCAGCTCTCTTTGCCCGTGTCATCAGCATATCAACTAATAGGAACAGAATACAAACTCGCCGTCGACATCTATCTCAGCTCCGACTCAACCTTGACATCATCCAAGGTCGAAGAGGCCGTCAAAGAGACCATTTACACAGCGTATGATAACGCAAGCAACGGCAATCGAACCCGTGGTGGCATGAAGAGAGCGTACGAAGTGTAAGTTCAGTCCTAATCCCATGTATCACAGGTGAGCGACACTAATGCACGCCATTACCAGCCTTCAAGCCTTTCAGCCGCACTTTTCAGACTCGATTGCTCTCAAGCAGATCGGCGCTCTAATCTCAGCCACGCACTCACTGTCCTTCTACTCCCTCACCTTACAGCACGGCGTCCCCTTCCAGCCCGTCAGCATCCGCGTACACTCTGATCCTCTCTCCCTCATTGAAAAAGTCCTCGAACAGAACCCCAAGAGCTACACCAAGGTTGATGACCTGCTGGCCATAGGCCGCAATCTTGTCGCAGCCGGCTTCTCTCCGCGGCTCTCCGATCACCATGAAGCCCCCACGCTGGCCCCTCTCTCCGAACAGGATGCCATTCTCACCGCCGAACGCCGCATCATGTCTCTAGCCATCAACTCCGCTCTCACCTCCCACGACTTCGGAACAGCCTACTCTTACATCCTTACTCGGCTTACACCCACCTCGTCCGCATCCACGCCCGACACGACACTCACAGACGACATTACCTGGCGTACGGTGTATTCCGCCGGACGGTATCGCCCGCCGCCGCCCAGTACCTCCACCCCGCCCACTACGCAGTCTCAGATCACCCACCTCACCCAAAGAATGGAGCTTCTCTCCCTCGCCCTCATCCTCGTCCCCTCCGACCACCCGGATCCGCTCCCGGAGATTCTCGGTGCCTGGCGCCGCTGTGACGAGGAACTCAGCAACCTCCGCACGCAAGAATCCCTCGAAGAAGACATCTGGGACACGAAGGGCGACCTCACATCCTCCCTCACAATGCAAGGCCTCCCAGGCGGGTTTGGGCCCGCCGATTCCTCCGAGCAAGACGCCCTGGAAACGCGACAGCACCAAGCCCGCCGTGCCCGCGCGCACGCCTCGCACCATCGCCTCAACCACGAAGAAGCGCCCATGGGCCTCTTCGAGGTCGCGCGAGGCGCCGCCCTAGCCCTGCAGAAGAACGCATTCCCGCTCCGCGCCGCAGCCACCAAGACCACCACCGCCTCCCACCACGATCACAACGGATTCACGCCCTCTCCCCACACAGCAACAGCAAGCTCCTCACATACACGCACCGACTCCGTCGCCTCCGCCGAGAACTATGAGCCTGGCAGCGGGGGACCCTCCGATCGCGTCCGCAAGAGAGACGTCGTCAGTAACATGGTGACGGATGGACTCGTCAGTGGATTGGGGTGGGTGCTCGGCGCGCAGCCCGTCAACCGTTCTTAGTATTAGTATACATATCCGCGGCTCAACCAGAGCCACACCACCAGCATTTCCCTGAAGGGGAATCACGTGTTCTATTTGCATGTTTGATAATGATGACGGGTGCGAACATTTTTGATTGGTATCTAGTTGTATTGATAGCGCTGCTAGCTGGCATGGCATGATATGATATCTTATAAATAATATCCGATTTTCTTTCTTGTGCAGTCCTTTTCAAGATGAAAAATACTAGATTGACTAAATACCCCATGAAGTTCGATCGACTATTTTTTATTTTCTAATGCTGTGAGCTAGGAGTAGCAACCTGAACCGAGAATGACATTCATCAGGCGGGACAGGTACAAGATTCGAGCAAGAGAGATCCGGCACCTGGCATCCAGATCCATAGAACCCCAAACATGACGGCGGCCAACAAGGCCCGGGCGTTCAATCACGTTAATATCTTCCCCACGCGGGCATACCATATAAATTACCATGATGACCTTACTAGTAGCGGAAGGGAAGATGTACGATGGAAAAGATGATGAGATTTGACTCAATTGGATAGACGCCAATCAATATACACAAAATGCGGACCCGGTCCTCGAAGATAAAATATGGGAAAGCAAACGCAGCAAGACAGAAAAAGAAGACAGAAACAAAAAAAAAAACGGTTTGCACATATGTATGTGAATGAAGATGATGCCTGAAAGGGGGGTAGGGGGGGGGGAACTCTCTGTGAAAATGTATGTATGAATGTATGTTATGTATGGATAAATTCGCTCACGTGCAAGATGACAAGACCGGGAACATCGAGATGGTGGAACACGCAAGGGACAAAGCAGGAAGAAAAAAGAGCCAGCACCGCTGGCTGTTGGGTAAAACAGAGAAATCCCTTTTTTTGTTGGAGCAAATGCGAAAACAACATCGAGTTGCTGGATGAATGCAAATGGGTTGGTTCTTGCTGGTGGAAGGAAAAAAGAAAAACGAGGTTGCGGAGACAATTCGGGGCCTTGTCGCTGGCGGGAGGGAGGGATTTGTATTAAGGAAAGGCGTGATCATGTCGGGCGAGGATAGTCAAAGAGGGCACAAAAACATTTCCAACTCCATGGTCCCAAGGAAGGATAGACGGTGCACGGTTGAGAATAAAAATGAGCGTCATGATCACAGATTCGTATGCTGTTGACATCCGGGTCAACCAAGGGCCAGCCACTTGTCAGCATCAAGAGGGAAGACCGTAATATGCGATCGTATTATTAAAGGTAGCAAAACCAGCCCAATGGACGAAATGAGGGCACGAATGGTCGCGGCGGTCCTGATGCTGTGCAGGCAGTCTATTCTGTCCAATCCCACACCTGCTTCACAAAATTGGCCATGTTGACCTTTTTGTTCTTCATGTCCAGCATCCAGGGATGGTCCAGCATCCGCCATGGAGTCGCTCGTCGTGGAGGTTCTTTCTCCAGACTAATTTCACCGTTAGTCACGCAAAGCCATCATGGAAGGGGGACACAGGCACATACCAGCATTCTATGAAGTACTTGAAGTTGTCTGACCACCGGATGCCATTGTCGGGCTCGTCTTTCAACTTGGGGATTGGTTGACGGACAATGTAGGTTAGAAGATCAATCAAACCGGCCCGTGGTTGCATTTCCGTCCCATCGGCTGGGAAGGGGAAGCGATGCTGGGCAACTTCAAGCAGGGTCACGCCCAAAGACCAGACATCCGATGTAATCGTGTACGACTGTCCAGTGATTCGCTCAGGCGCCATGTAGTACGATGTACCGATGA